TATTTATAGCATTTCATTTCAACTGTTAAAACAAGAATTTTAATTGCGTGATGAAACCAAACCAATTCTCTATCAATTCATTTAGAGCCATAACAGAAATCTGCTTTCAATTATTTTCTAAATTTATAATTTAGTCTCACGAAAATCTAAAACTGAGCTACACATTCGCAACACGGCTGAACCACGTTGATTTATTTTTATGGATATTTTTATGTAGCACACGCCCCAATAAATAAATGAAAACAAAACCAGACCATAAATTGGACGAGCGGTAAAATGTGAAAACTTCGTTTGGCGATGCGAATGGCGATGAAGCTGACGTTGATGCGAAACTGACGAAGACCAGAGTGCGCAATTTGTTAATGGAAATTCAATTGAATTGAAAAACTAAATAAATACCAATGCACAGGTAAATAAATAAAACCCGGCAAGGCGGGGAAAACATCAAATAAATAATGAACATAAATTTTTTTCCACCACCGCCACTTTTATTTCTATTTGTTCGATTTTTCTCTTCCTTGTATAGGGACAATTTCACACATCTGTTCCCCAATTGAAGTGGAGAATATAGAAAAAATGGCGGTTTTTACATGGCACTCGCGAAAAGGATGCAGCAATATATTAAACCAGTTGATCAACCATTTATGCTGGGCTTAATTTTAATTGGTTTCCCTTCGCAAGCACAGCCATTAAGGGAGTTATGCTATTTAATTCGACCAACTGTTCGGGGAGGATGAGGGAAGATATTACAGAGTTTTTCTTCGCAGATGAACTCGATCTTTCTCCAAATTGCTTTCCGCCTGGTTTTTATAACCCTTTCAACTCTGTAGATTTATGTCCCATTTTTAGGTGGCGCCACCTGCCGTCGCATACCGCTGGCAATAAAATATATATACGATTGCACCTATACATAAAGGCAAACAATAAAAACACAACTTCACCCACGACATAAATCACCTGGGTAGTTCAAGCATGGTTGAAATATTACTCAGCCAAGAAGTTAAATACAAACTGCCACCCACTGGGGAATAAAAAAAAGGCTAAGAGCGTGGTCAATTAGGATAAAAAATTGTGTGTAAGTAATACTCAGATTGTGGGATAATAATAAGGGTTTCGTAATAATCGATTTATGGTACCCAAGAAAATGAATCGCCTCCAAGATAAATACTTTTTATTATGTGCTCGATAAATTCAGTGCATATTTTTAGCTTTAGTGTTTTCCGTTTGGCTAAAATCAACTTTTTCTTGTTCACAAGAGTCATCCATATCTACTATGTTTTTTTTATTCTACATACCCTCTGTAGGATGAGGTGTCCCAACAATCATAAGTCTGTGCATCTATGACTTCACTTGGCCATGTGCCATTTTGTATTTCATTTTATATTGTTTGTCATTTAAGCCCCATATTGCCTAAGACCAGCACATGTATATAAATATATACAAGGAGTTGGGCACAATACTATACATTATTTATTTGCCCAGACCACATACATTTGAACTATGAAATAACCACGGGAATGTTTGCCATGTCGTGGTCAATATACGCCATGACCCACATGAAGCGATTGCAAGGATGTGGCAACGGAAGGCAAAGGATTGGTCAGGTGTGGTCGAGTTGTTTGGCCAATATTTATTTATGTGACTGGTTGTGTGTGCTCTGTGTCTGACAGCCACCCAAGGCTGTTCAATTAGTTGGGCGAAAGAGTTCTAAGGCCAATCGGAAGGACACTTGCCCTGTGTGGGCTTTACTTTTTGTTGGAAATATCTCTCACATCTCACATCTAACATCAACCGCCCACATCAATCACCACAAATTAATCATTCAATTTGATAGTTTAAGAGCCAAAAATGCGCAACAGCTGACAAAAGAAATAAGTTACAAACTTGCGGTTTCCTTTTCGTTTTTCCGTTTTCCCATTCCCAATTCTGACCAAAATCAACATAGAGACAGGACACAGGCACAAATCACAAAAGTGCAACAAATTCCGCCTGTGTGTTTTGTAATATAAATCAATCATACGACATGTGGGACGCATCAAGCACAAAGAAAATAAACCCAAATATTGGTGAATGGCGAATTTTGGAAAAAATAAAAGGAAGTTGTTGAATAAATACCCCTTGCCAAGCGTTTATGAACTATGTAATCACCATTTTTTGTGAACAAAATTATATAAATAACTTGGAAACTGGTATTTATACCCGTAATCCTATACATTCAATTAAAATCAAGTAAGGAAGTAAGATAAAGAAAAGTTGCATCTTTATATCCGTTTTATTTTCCATATGGCATTCTTTTGTTTGAGGTTTTCTAATATTCCCTGCCATACAGATACCGTGTAGGGACAAAAACTATTTCTGAGATAAAAAGCGCTTTCAGACAGGCTCTGACTGTGTCGACTGACTGTCTCGCCGCCTGACAAACTGCAATGCGATTGCCAGCTCAGCAGATGCGTCCAGCGCAAACTCACTCAAACAAACAGACACATACACACACACTCACACACTTGCCCTGCCCCCGAACACACCATCCCCTCTCGCCCATGGTGGCAGCCCACTCAAGCCATTCTGTTTCGCCGCTCTGTTCTATTTGCTAGGAAAACATTTATGTAAAGTTTATATTATTAGAATGGCATACTAGAGAGCATTGTGTATGCCGTCTCTGTGTCTTTATAACTGCACTTGTGAGTCTGTGTTTGTTTTATAACGAGGACCAAACGACATTTGCCAATATGTTTTAAAGAAAATAGAGAAGATGTGGGGAGAAAAGCTGGAGATCGTTAGACGAATGCGTCTTTCAATTTGTGTCCGCTCGGTAGTTCCGTAAGACTCCCTCTTGCTGGCGATTGAATTGGCATTTTAGTTGGTCCAGCTTTCTGCAGTTGCGATGATGTCCCTTGCAGGACCAACAAACTCATCGGCATTTGCCAATTTGTGTGTTTTTCCAGTCAGTTTTCCCCTTTTTTCACAGTATCTCCTCTAGGCCCTTTTCTTTGATTGCTTTGGCAGGAGGTAAAGTGCTGACTTGGATATGCATGGGATTGCAACCAATAAATTATACCCAGATTGCTCGGCAATAACTTTTGCTTTTTTGTTGTGGAATTGTTGAGAGAAAAAAAAAAACTTTGCAAATGCGTTTGTAAGAAAATCTAGAGAATTGACAAAACTTGTCCATGAAATCCAATTTTCAGTTTTTCCAAATGTGAATAAATTATATTCAGCAAAACTTTAAATTTACTTTTCATGCCACTAAAATTCAGGTTTTCCCTTCACATTATTTTCCGCCCAGAGATCACAGGAGTTTCACCGCTGCAATCTTTATTCATCAGGTCGCATCTCCATCCAGAAAATCTCTTTGGGCTCATTTCCATTTACGTGATATCCCGAAATCTCCATCTACTGGCGAAGCCCAACGGAACTATCTACAAAAATATTACCATTCAGCCTTCCTGGCCGGATTTCCATAGCAAACATCAACCTGGGATAGTTGTAGCCATTTTATTTGCTCCTATTTTATTTTTGTTTGGGTTTTGTTGGCCTGTCCATGCTCTGGAAAATATATATTGATATGACCGAAAACAGTGCTCTAGTTTGTGGGATGCATAACCCACAAAGGGGAGCGGGCTCCCCTCTTTCCTATCCGGTAATGGTAACAAATCCCCGTTTTTAGGGAACTGGCAAAAGCCAGGACCAACGTTACCTGAGTTTGGTTTCGGTTTTGGGCCGGGCCGGGTCAACAAAATATGTGGCCAATTATAGCAAAAACAGACGTTTTTATGTTGCAGACCCCCCAACGTGTTCTTTTTGCTCTCCGGTTACAACTAATTTATGACTTCGGGCTAAGAGCTAGGATTTTCCGGCTTCTTTTCCCCACTTTTTTTTTTTTTTTTTTGTTATTTTTGCAACCTTCCTTCTAATCATTGGCAATAATTCAGTAGCTGTACTTCAGGCTATTTAATGTTAGCTTAATGGTTTTAGAACTACGGCAAAAATATATTACGCATACGCATAGTAGGTCCGAAGAATTTTGTGATTTCAACAGTTTAAAAAAATAACTTCGCTCTTAAGTGGATTTCAATGTTTTCCTTTATGACTTGTCCTCAGGCTTATGCTCGTTTAATATTTGAAGAATTGATTGGAGTACAAATAGATTGCGTTCACGCAGGATAACACATAAAAATGTGTTGACTTTGGCTTTTTTAAATAAACAATGTATTTGAATGGATTTACTATGCAAACAATTCTGCTGTGAAATCCATTTCATTATGCAAAGTGTCATCGTTTATTGTTCCGTCTCGGAAACTTTGTTTACATTCAGCATTATTTTCTGGTGGCATCACAAAAATAATTTTTGGTTTACGCTCATCGTGGCAGCTCATCAAGAGATAGTTTGACAAAGCATTTATCCTGTCCGAAAATGTCCTCACTGCTTTCGGCAAGCTTCAAATTCAAATCTAATTTCCTACAATTTCCATTTTATATTTCTTCACGGTCTTTTTACAAATATTTGCCTGTCTGAATAAGGAGGAGATTGCGAGCCACGAGAACAAGAAATAATATTTTGACATCTTCTGCTTTGCTTTTGTGTATTTTGTGATTTCTTTCATTTCTCGACCACCTAACATCGCGAACTTGTCATAGATTTCATGAATTAAATTTCATAGTTATTTTTTTAATTATGAAACATACTTTTATTTAAATCTCAGTTTAGGTAAAATAATTATTTTTGCAATGTTTTGCTTTCTTTCGTTTGCTAATTTTCTTCATTTTTGTTTTGGCCTGTCATAGACACTCACATTTGCCTGAGATAAAATCATTTGTCATTTCTCATAATTTTGGCTTTTGTTTTCTTGATGTCTTTTCGGGTCTTCTTTCCGCCCCAGTGACACAGGCTGTCCTATACAAATAACTTTTCGATGGCATTGACTAAAAAGTTATTCATTCATTCCCACCCAGACTTTCTAGACAACTCAGGCAGCTCTTAAGCATAAATTAAGACTTACATTTGATGGGGCCAGGCGGTGGCAGAAATGGAAAGTCCAGGATAGCACTTCAGACCGACTTCAGACTAGAAAGAGATACAGAAAGAAAAATTTGTATATGAGAAAAAGTTTGCGCATTATAAGGGCAGCTGGATGTTGAGAAGCGAGAGACAGACTCAATTAGTTTTATTTGTGGAAAGGCAGACTTTCGAGCCTTTGGGCGGCCACTGGAAAAATTCCCATGGCATGTATTTATTTTCATTGGGTTTCGCTAGATCTGGGCAAGATATGTTTCGCTGGAAATTAACGCCGACATTTGCTGTTTAATCGTGCTTGTGTCAAAGCAGTTTGCACATAATTTTGTGTGTACAATTTGTTGCCTACTTTTGTGTGCTCGTCCGCAGTTTGCGGAAAACTTCTTGTGCAAGAAAAAGTTTCAAGGAAAACTACACAGCTTTAAACCTAAAAGATACTCAAACAAAAATGGCGCACATCTTATGCAAAAAAAAAAACTTCCGTTGCAATCGATATAAAGTGAACTTCTGCTTTGATGTAGATTGCAATGGTGTCGATGGAAGTCAAGTCCACAAAGAGACAAGACGTGACAGCAGAAATCGAAAGCCAAAAGCAAATCAAATACCGAAGTTGCAGTTTTCCCTCTCTTTCTCCATCATCCGTCAACATCTGGGGAAAAGTGTGCTCTGCTGGGCTGATTTTTCACACCCAATTGCCAGGCGCTTGGAATTTAAATGCCGAAAATAAACAACAACATCGGATTTAAACTAAGTCCTCTCCTCTCTTAAAACAAGCGAATCAAAAACAACTTTCTGAGTCGACTGACGAATGATCTAAAAAATCAGCAAACAATTTTTTAAAAAACAGAAAAGAATTTAGTTTGATATTTTGACTGGTTTTAACTGAACAAAAACTATATTTTTTAAATAACTTGACCGTATTGGTTTGATATAACCAGCTCACCATTGCGAAAATGACCGAAGATTTTTTCCGAGCAGGTTTTATCCGCAGCGTAAAGTGAAATCCTTTGGCCAAAGGTGTTACCGACAACCATAAGGCAATAGACAGTAAAAGAAAACAAAAAGGAATCTAGGTTTAAAGCTAACACTGTTGTTCAGATGGCTTTCTTCAATCTAACTATAATTCCCTTAAAACAAACGCGAAATTAAAAAAATTATACAGTATATCTTTAAAACCCATAACACCAGCAAGATTTTTAACTTAAAAATAATTTTTTATAGATTTACACATTTTAAGAATTTTTAAAGCAACCAAAAAACCTGGCAGCACTGAGCACCCACTAACCCCAAACCCTCCTTTCTCCTTTGGCGCATTGTTGACTTTGCCGTCTTGGCCGCTCATGTATATGTATTTGAATCTGTATCTGTATCTGTCTGCGTATGTGTTTGTGTGTCAAGTGGCCGGCCCATTTCTCCGCTTTCTCCACCTGCTGGATGTTATTCATTTGGATCTTCTTGCGGCAGGTCAGAGGCAAATCGTTGAAGTTGGCTCTGTGCGTGGTTAAGTCCTTGTCGATGGGCTTAAACAAACAGAGGAGGAGGATGCCAAAGGATGGAAGGATAGAGGCAGAGGACAAAGACACAATCCAAAGGCACATGGCAAAATCAGAGATAGTCAGCAATGCGTTCGTTGGACGTCTTTTGAATATGATTTAATTACTGCTAATTGCTGTCTATACTAATTAGTTTGAAAGGCTTTGCTCACTCAATAGATATAGTGCGTCGCTATTCAGATTCTCAGATCAATAATGAGATATGTAATGTGAATGCAATATAAGCACAAATGTGTGATTGGATTTCAAAGTAGGTAAACCAAATCGTTGAGCAATACTTCGGTATGAAAATCAACATCATCAGAGAAAGAGCATTGTATAAAATTTCCTTTTCTCCCAAGTGAATAAAATGTATTAGCCAAGAAATTGGTTGACAAGGGTTTGGGATTTAGCCTGACTGTCATACAAACTATGAGATACCCTTGCAAATGGAACATAAATCATGCTGCTTCTCCTGACATTTCACCATTCACTTAGCGCATTAACGAGTACCGAATATGCACATGATGGAGGATAAAAAACGTAAACCCAGAAAAGTAACCCAACAATGCTGACAGGAGAAGACACGTAACGTAATCTAATAAATGTGACAGTTAGTGTATATGGAAAACTGTGGAAAACAATAAATCTCCATTAGGTTGAGCTGGCTTTCATTAACGGATTTCACGAAACTAAAACAGGATGTGCGGTTGTATATATGTATATATCTATATATGTCTATCCTGACACTAATATAGTTCTGGCTGCATGCTTGTGGGTGTATTCGTTTCATGCACCTGCCATGAAAATATTTGCGCAAAATATTTTAAGCCGCATTTTGACAAAGGACTTGGCCCAAACAACTAGAATCCGTCCTGACAGCAGGGACCTCGACGCTCAACGTAAATATGACAGGGATTTGTAATCGAAATGGATGGGTGGTGTGTGTGGCTTTTGTTCGCCCGAATATTTCCGATATTTTCCACCTATGTGATTGTATAAACAAATAACTGAAGTTGGGATAAACGGATTATAGAGCAAAGTGTTCACGGGAGGCAAATAGGAATTTTCAAAATTTTTGCGGTCTACTTCCGCGGGTTCGGTTGTGTTTTGGCTGGGAATTTGAGTGGGTAATGTATGTGCAAATGCAAACTAATTGCAGTTTGCGGTAAAAAAAGGTTTAAGTGGTTATAAGTTTGCAACATGCTGGTAATATCTATTATTAAACCTAATCAAAAATCTCCGCAATTATAAATGACGGACACTAATTAAAATAGCAATCGCGAGGGTTACATATGTCTAATTTAAAAATTTATATAATTGAGCCCACTGTAAATAAAAGCATCATACTTTATAATTCCAACAAACTTTAAGCTTAACACAATGAATGTCATTCATTAAACAGAATTTTCTTCATACCTTTTGTAGATCCTTATATCTGGTAAACCGTAAAAACAACCCCTAATCTCCGGAAAAAAGTTCTTTCAACTTTGACCCAATTCATGCGAAGTACAAAGGACCCCCGGCCAATCCTTAAGCTCCGACACTGACCCTTCGAAACGAGACCCGCAAATTTAAAACCACCGGAGCAACCTCAAGGGGTAAATGCGCAATTGACAAGCAAATTGACAATTCACTTAATTCCGGGCGACAACAAAAGTGGAGAATAATTCTTAAACATTTAACCGACTGCAGTTGACAGACGGGGCTCAGATATTGCACCCGCCGGATTCCCCCGACGAAAGGATTAAAGGGTTGTTCCACTTCCTTCTCATGAATAATGCAAACCGCAAAAGCCAAAACAACCAAAAACAATTGAGTGGGGTGACCCCGGGTTGTTGTTTGTCTCTCTGTGTGCCAATAATTATATGATTGACAAGCGATTGAGTTTTTGGCCCTAAAGCCTGCAAGGCAGTTTAATATAAACTGATGGCGCCACACCCCAAAGAGATAATGCAATACCAGCACCAAGTTGGGTGGGTCAAATGTCAGTGGTTTGAGCTCGGTGGTTGGCTGGTTGGGTAGTTGTGCGGATGGGTGTTGTCTGTCAAACGGCGGAGTGGCTGTTGCCTTTGGTAATTACGCTCACACATACCCACATGCATGCTAATTTCAACTGGCCCTGAATTCCGTCACAAAACCCATTTTCTGGTCGAGCCTAAATTGCCGAATGAGATTTTTGTGCAATGTCCTGTTCCTATCCAATCCATCACACTGGAAAAAACTTTATGCTCTCAACAGTATACTTTGGTTACCACATATTCAATAAAAGAAATAAAAATACAAAAATGTAGTTATTCTATAATCTCGAAAATAAAAACCATTAATGAGTGTCACAACATATTAAAATGAACATTATTTTAATTTATATGCACAAGTACCATTTTATTTAAAAAAATTTATATTCGAACGTTTTGTAAAGAATTTTTTCTGGACTACTGAAAATGTAAAAGTTGTTTGTGGGCATCTGCATTGAAATTGGCATGGCAGGTATTATTTTCATATACCTCGCTGCAGGATGAATCTGCGGCTGGCTTTGTCCTCCTCCCATTTTTGGTTTTTATTTCTGGCTTGTTCCTGTTGGTTATATCTGTTTGCGGCTTTTATACGAAATTGCCTTTTCCGCCCATTTGACTGAGAAAGGAGTTATGTTTGCTGGTTTGCTAGTGGTAAGAATATTATCCACAATTATAATTTAGTTTTACTGGCGATGCTTGTAACAAATAAAAAGGTTAACAAGTGGCCTTAGTGGTAATTTCCAATTACTATAGACAAGACGACCCAAATTTGTCAGTATTTGATATGCAAAACCATTTGCCTACAATTAAAAATCAACCAGTTCACCTAATTTTAACTCAGTAAACAGCAGGGGTCGGAATCAAAGTCAAGTCAATTGTCCCATTTGAATATTCTAGTCGAAAGCCGGAGAAATACATATGTTTTTCGCCTACTTCGTTTGGGCCAAATGGAATTTTGCATGGCATCGATTTGACAACCATCCTGCATGACAACTCAGACACATTGAGGTCTGCTCATTTGTGCAGCAAAATCAGACCGGGATGGATTTCAATAGAAAATTTCCCCATTTCCCCCCCTTTTCACCTGACAATTTGCGGTGGATTGGACAAAAATCGAATCGAATTGAACCGAGCGCTCTGGCTCTTACAAAGCAATTGAAAATTATGCTGCAGTGAAAAACTTGAACAAGACTTCAAGCTCAAGAGTGTTGGACGAGATGCCGTTTCACATGCTCGTTTTGGGGCGTTTACATCAATGGAAGGAAAAGGCTAGAGAAAACGGGTGAAAATCTAACAAAAACAGGTCATATGGAAATAGATTCGAGCTGATGTTTAGTAGTGCGGAATTTCTTTGTCCTTAAAGTCGGAAATCTCGATTGCTAGCTTAATGGCAGGGCATATCAATGAATATTTATTACAATTCATGTCTCGATATTCTTTTCTGTTATGTTATTTATGTAGGTTGAGGTTGGATTAATCTATCAGAAACGAAATATATGTT